TCCGCTTCAGCTTTCCAAGTAGCCGAAATTACAGGCGCGCGCTACCACGCCCAGCTAATTTTTTTATTTTATTGTAGAGATGAGGTCTCGCCTGCCCAGGCGGGTCTCAAACCCGCAGGCTCAGGCAATCCACTCACCTCAGCCTCCCAAAGGCGCGGGATTACAGGCTGAGCCAACGAGCCCGGCTATTTACTACTGTTAATCCCATCCTGATCTATTTTTGTGTATGGTGATAGATAGGGGTTTTCTGCCTGTGGTCAGCCAGTTTTCTCAGCACCATTTACTGAATAAGTTCTCCTCTCCCCAGTGGTTGTTAGTTGAAGCTTTGTTGAAGATGAGTTGATTGAGAAACTGAGGTTTTGCTTCTGACATCTCTGTCTAGTTCCATTGGTCTATAAGCCTGTTCTTGTATCAGTACCAGGTTGTTTTGATTATTGTAGCCTTATAATAAGGTTTAAAGTCTGGAAGTGTGATACCTCCTACTTTGTTTCTTTTGCTGAGGATTGTTTTGGCTATTCGTGGTCGTTTATGATTCCATGTGAATTTCTGTATTGTTTCCAGATCTGAGACGAATGATGCTGGAAATTTGATGGGTATTGTGTTAAATCTGTAGATTGTCTTGGGTAAGAGGGACATCTTAACAATGTTGATTCTTCCAATCCATGGGCATGAAATATTTTTCCATTTGTTTGTGTCATCTTTGATTTCTTTGAGAAATGTTTTGTAGTTTTTGTTGTAAACGTCTTTCATTTCTGTGGTTAGGAGGATGCTGAGGTATTTCTCTTTTTTTGTGTGGCTATCGTGGATGGGACTGGTTTTTATTTGGTTCTCTGCCTGTTTGTTGTTGGTGTATAAGAATGTGACTGTCTTGCCCATTGATTTTGTACCCTAAGACTTTGCCGAAGTCCTTTATCAGTGCAAGAAGGTTTTTGACAGATTTTCTTGGATTTTCGAGGTATAGAATCATATCATCAGCAAAGAGGGATAGCTTCCTCTTTTCCTGTTTGGATACCTCTGATTTCCTTCTCTTGTATGATTACTCTAGCTAGGACTTCCAACACTGTGTTGAACTGGAGGGGTGAAAGTGGGCAGCCTTGTCTTGTTCTACTTTTCAGGGGAAATGCTTCCAATTTTTGTCCATGTAACAATATGTTGGATGTAGGTTTTGTAGATGGCTCC